CTTCTTTTTTTCCACTTCAAGCACTGCTTATAAGGTTTAGCGCAAAATAAATATGAATGAACATCAGTTCACAGTTAGTTAGCAATAAAAAATCACATTAATAGTAATATTTACTATTAATTAAATATGTATGTTTGAATAATTCTGTCATGAAGACACGTTTATGGAAACTACCTCATGTTCCCTTCACGGGAGAGTTTGATTGACAGGCGATCTGACCAATCATAACACAGAATCTGTCATTTTGTCCGATAAACAAACCAGACAGGAGAGTAGATTAATGTTGGTGGACTTGAACTTGAAAATGGTGTGTACTGTGTACTGACATCTTTCCGCGGTTGAAACAAGATATCTTCTGATGTTCATTCATGTTTATTTTTCATGCAATAACTAGTAAAGAGGAAGAGATGATCTGTTCACGTGTCGCTTGAACTGAGACGCAGAAGAGCCACAAAACGGTATTTATTGTTTAAATTTCTTTAAAAATTACCAAATTTGAAAGCTGAGACTTTCATACCAAAAGTAACTTGCTCTGTCTTGTCTGTCGGCGTGTTGTCAGTGTCCTCTTTGCACCGCGATGTATTTTTCACTGCGTGAGAACATTATTTGTGGCGTGTTGTCGGACGTAGCAACAGTAACTAAGGGGGCGTGTCTCGCAAAGGGTCAATTGAGTTGTATACAAACATTTCAGGTTTTTTTGGGTATGATTATTATATCTGAAGTATATAGCAGTTGAATATAATAGTTTGGGCTCTGTTGTTAATTGTAATCTCTAATATTATAGTAATGTACCAAATGGGAGAGTTCCCTGTATAGTTTGCAGCATTAGATGGAAGAGATTTGTTTTGTTTTGTTTTGTCATAAGAAAACCAAACTGGTTTTGGCATTCTGAATAATCATTCTGATAAATCGGCTTAATAATTGCATTTTCATTCATTGATTACTGATTATCTATTGAGTAAACTTACATGTGAACACTGTGTGATCATTGCAGTGTTATTTTAGTATCATTGAGATACTATTATAGTTTTATTTATATTTAGAATTTTTTTCTACATTTTCTGTTTTCATTTTTGTTAAAGTTTTAGTAATGTTGTTGTGTTTTTGTCATTTTTGTAGTTTTTTTTTTATATGTGTCTATATAGTTTTCAGTTATTTTTATTTCACTTTTGAAATTGAGAAATGTTGCCTTGGCAACTAGCTGAAATAAAACGGGGTTTTTTTGTTTATATATATATTTTTTATTTTATTTCAGTTAATGTTTATTTTATTTCAAGTAACGAAGATGGGTTTTTCATATTTTTAGTTTCAGTTTTAGCTAACTATAATAACCCAGGATCATTGACAATAAATTAGTAATAAATGTTTAAGTTTGTGACCCTGTATTATGTCTGTTGTCGTCATAGCCAATCACAATGGACAGCCTGTCACTGGAGCAGCAGTTGTCTCAGTACTCACTGCTGAATTTACTGAACGACCTGCAGAAACAGCCGCACACCTTCCCTCAGAACATTCGTCTCATACGCCTCCCGCCTCTCACTGTAAGCTCCACCCCCAACACCACCCAGCCCTCTCTTGCCAGCCAATCACAGACAGCCACAAGCGGAACTGCCAACTCCGTATGTTTTTCTTCTGCTCTACACATTTTGCTTTAGGTTGATATGGTCATTTCAGTTTTGCAGGAAATCAAATATGATATTTCTTTCTCCCAACAGTACCGCAGTCAGACAGGCTCTTCAGCCAATCAGTCACCAACATCTCCAGTGTCCAATCAGGGCTTCTCACCTGGCGGTTCACCACAAGTAAGCATTACACTTCTATTGGCTTCATTCTTCATTTGATGACTTTGTGTAGTTTATTGGCATTTCAGTGTGTATTTCTCTCTGCATTGCTACACACTTTGTAGTTGTGTAAGTACTGTTTGGAAAAATTAAGATTTTCTCTTATGCTCATCAAAGCTGAATTTTCAGCATCATTACTCCAGTCTTCAGTGTCACATGATCCTTCAGAAATCATATGCTGATTTGCATATGATGAATAAAAAAAACTATTATTATTATCCATGTTGAAATATATTTTTGTGGAAATCATGATAAAGGATTGTTTAATAAATACAAATTTAAAAAGAACAGCATTCATTTGAAATATAAATATTTTTTAACATTATAAATGTCTTTATTTTGATCAATTTAATGTGTCATTGCTGAATAAAAGTATTCATTTTTTAATTAGCCTAAACTTTTGAATAGTAGTCTATCACCGTTTCCACAAAATATTAAGCAGTGCAGCTATTTTCAAAACTGATAATAATAAGAAATGTTTCTTGAGCAGCAAATCAGCATATTAGAATGATTTCTGAAGGATGTGTCTTCACAGCATATTCAGGTGGTTGGAAGCATCTTTGGGGATTCATTCTATGATCAGCAACTTCCATCCAGACAGACCAATGCCCTATCCAACCAGGTACATGAGCTCCATTTAAAATCACTCTTTATATGTTTTTTCTTTTTTCTATCTTTTTTTTTAATTAAGATAAACAATACAGTTTTATTATTTTTTTAAAAGTTAGTTCCCACTAACCATACAAATGATCATGTTCAACAATCCACATAACACAGCTGGAAATATATAATATGCTGTGTATATTTATATATTTATATGTATGTATAAAATGCGGTGTTAAAAATGTTATTTCATTTATTGTTGAAATGAGAACTTTCTAATGCTGATTGTGTAGCTGGAGCAGTTCAACATGAATATGATGGAGAATCCAGGCGGCTCTAGTCACTGTTCAACGCTGAACTACACACAGGCAGCCATGATGGGTTTAACCGGGAGCCACAGCAGTCAGCAGGACACGCAGCAGCTCGGTTACAGTAGCCATGGCAACATCCCCAACATCATTCTCACAGGTATTGTGTCTTTTGCTTCAACATCAACTTCTTTATGCAAATGTCTTTCCAATGAGATGTCACAGAGGTACGTTAAAAATGCATTGAGGGTCCTTATCTGTACCTGTGGATCTCAACCTTTTTAGAGTCTATTCATTATCCAGGTCCTTTAGCGCCCCCCTACAAGAAGCATTCTTATTAATTATTCTAACAGAAGAAAACTGAAGGATTTATCTTAATTGTCTGGTTTGTTCAGTAAAATCAACTTTTGCGGAAGTAACATGTGTCATGGGGCAACCAATAGTTGCAAACACTGAATATTTCCAGCACTATATTCTAATGCACTTAAATAACATGAGGAACACTTCACTAGCTACCATAACCAGATGATAGTTTGCTTACATTTAGCTCTAATTAATTGTAGTTTTTAACATTCATTAAAATTCAAAGTTACTATTAAGCCCTGAATAAGCTTCTATGAAGACTGCCCAATCAATGAAAAACTTGGAAAACTTGAAAACTTGTATATATAATATAATAAAATTCTCCTGTTGAGCAATTACTTGCCTTGTATATTTAGCATTTTTATTACTGATAAAACTTTTTTGGGGTTATATTGTCAGTTGCTGGTACTGATATTCATTTATTGTGCATATTTATGTGAATCTCTTAGTAGCACAAAAAAGTAATATATTAAAGGGATACTCCACCCCAAAATTAAAATGTTGTCATTAATCACTTACCCCCATGTCGTTCCAAACCCGTAAAAGCTTCGTTCGTCTTCGGAACACAATTTATGATATTTTGGATGAAAACCGGGAGGCTTGTGACTGTCCCATTGACTGCCAAGTAAATTACACTGTCAAGGCCCAGAAAAGTATGAAAGACATCGTCAAAATAGTCCATCTGCCATCAGTGGTTCAATCTGAATTTTATGAAGCGACGAGAATACTTTTTGTACGCAAAGAAAACAAAAATAACGACTTTATTCAACAATTCGTCTCCTCCGCATCACCGTAGTGCCATTTTGGAGAGTATCCACTGAACGTAATCAGCGTATGCTGTTCTGTGTCAGCCGCACCACACGGATACGTTTTCTACGTTTATTTACACTTTGATTTGAACGAAAACAGCGCATTTGTGTGGTGCATAACAATTCGTGTGGTAATGTTCAAAGCGGATGTCATAACAAATGTCAGTAGATTGGGAAGATTTAAAAAAAAAAAAAAAAAGATCGTACGACCTTACCTTCACACTGTGGAAATACAATCCAGAAGACAAGACAATGAGCGCGGCACTGAGTAGGGGCGGAGCTACATAGGGTCTTATGCAGTATAAGTTATGAGGTGAACAGAGTGCTTACATCAGTGGTGATGTACATTTGTGCTATCTGTCTTATCAGAGACGACATTTAAGATTGAAACACCACGGCAGGTGTGGATTTAAAAGTAGACTAGCCATTTCAGCTGACAATTTGATTTGTCTCACATTAGTGACGGGGGAATCTCCGCCCCATCTCTCTAAAGACCTCACCAGCTCGTTGGCCAGCGTTGGTGACGTCAGCTTTGATGCAGACTCTCAGTTCCCATTGGACGAGCTGAAGATCGACCCCTTGACACTGGACGGACTGCACATGCTCAATGACCCGGACATGGTTCTCGCCGACCCGGCCACTGAGGACACGTTCCGCATTGATCGACTATGAGCCTGTGAATGCAATTCGAAGCGAGACATTCCGCTGCATGACCTCTTTATTCACCATCTGGTCAGTGGCGTCCACGTCCCCCCAACCACCCACGTCACAACAAGCTGCCAAACCACTCATGACCAGGGGCTGGTGGAGGTGGAAGTGCTGTATCCACACTGGATATGCGCAATACCATCCACAATCCACTCTCTTCATGTATTCATGTTTTGTTGTCATTTCAAGTTTTATCTATTTTTTTAAATGTTTACATAATTATGCCATATGTCTTTGAAGAAATATCCATTTGTGTAATTATGTGTGTGTAATTGACATATTTATTTAGAATGTATTTATTATAATTTTTTTTTAATTATATATATATATATAAATATATATTATTTAATCATATTTATGTAAGGAGCACTACTCCCCCAGATCAAGGGTTTAAGGGAGCGTTGCTCACTGTACACTGGAAGGCCTAAAGTTTGCGTTTACAAAATGGCTTCCATGATATTTCGTTTTGCTAGCATTTTGTATCATCCAGACATCTCAAGATGTCACGATTGGTGTTTTGGTATCATTCTTGGTTTTTTAATATTTGCCTGTGATTTTTCTTGCAGAAGCACAGCAGTCTCGAGATAGGAATATAACGTCTCGGTTACGTATGGTAACCCTCGTTCCCTGAAGGGACCTGCGTTTGAGCGGAGGGTACGTGGGTAGTCCGTTGGTTCGTCCTCCCGATCCGCCCACTGCTGCTCACTGGCAAGAGAGGAGGGTGAGTGTGATACGGCTCTGGATCGTCCACAACCCCCTGTCCCCTCTGGGGACCCAGAGATAGAAGAATTTGCTCTTTTGTCAAGTATTTGGGTGGAAAAAAAGGAAACAAAAGATTCTCCGCCCGGCCCTCCTCCGCAATCGACATCCGATTGTTGGGGGGAGCCTCGGAAGAAACAGGTGGTACCCTCCGGTAGGGTCCAGCCTGCTCTTTCGAGAGCTCCACTGGTTTTGAAGTGCCAGCGGGATGGGGCATCCCCGGAGGGGAATTCCTTACCGTGACCGTAAGACCAGTCCGCCCACTGCCAGGAAAGGGACGCCCCCGGCTGTCACCAGAGGGAGCCCGCGATCTAGGCAGTGGCACGGGCACTCCGCCCCCTTGCAGGTAACGGAGTCTGGTCCGCAACTCCGAGATGGTCATACCCCCGCAATGGGAGCATGAGTCATCCACGAAAGCCACCTCCGCGTGCTTCATGCCCAGGCACGAGAGGCAGCGATCGTGACCATCACCCAGCGCCAGGTAACGACCGCACCCAGAAACACACGGATGGTAAGACATCTTTAAAAAGACGCGTCTTTAAAAAATACGTTCCACCCGTGAAGCTCTTTTAGATGGAAATTGCTTTTTTAGTGTGCTGAAGCGCACAGGGGCGATGGCCGTCTGCCACACCCACAGGGGGTAGTGCAGCCTGATGTGTGCAACCCATTCGACACGGGAAACCACCGCCGCTGAAGCGCCATACCACCAGCACGAGAGCCCACGAAGAGCGTGCTTGCTGTAGTTTTTTCTCTCATCTAAGTGAGATCCCAATTCGTCGGTCACCCGACGTGACGTTGAGAGTGACCGACTGAAAGGGAACCCATATTTTGGTGTTCTTGTGGACTGTCATGTGACTTTCCATATGTTTTGCATATGTTATTTATTCAAATTGAAGATCTGTTATGGCTGTAATGTACGCTTCAACGGTGATCAGTGAATATGTGACCCTAGAGCTGCTGCAGAAACCTGCTGAACACTTCACTGTGAGAGGACCTGATTTTGCCTTATATGAACAAAATGCTGTTTTTAACTGTTAACATGTTTTTCTAATCGTCTCCGAAGTGTTTTCCTCGCGATACTCTTGTTTTAACAATGCCATTTTGTTTAGTATTGAATGCTGTATAGTTTGTACTTGTACTGCCAAACATAACTCAAGGTTCTGTTGTGAAGCTGATGTCAGTCATCTGGCTTGGGGAGAGTAATGCTCCTTATTCTGTGCTGTTTATGGGAGTTTTTGTTTGTCATTCCCATGCGTATGTTCATGCACCTTGATCAAGTGATCAAGTTTTTCACTGAGTGCTATGGAAGGAAGTAAGGAATCACTCATTTACAATTTAGTGACGCAGTTATAAGCTCTATATGCAGTGGGGTCCAAAAAACACCACATTATGGAATGAAAATGATCAAAAACGAAGGCAATTATGATGTAACGTTGATTATGTACATACTGTCATTGAAACAAAGGGGATGATAAGAAATTGAGTTTGTTTGTTTTTTGTTTTTCACAAAATTCAGACTTTTTTGTGCAATTCTTAGTTTATATCTCACAATTCTGACTTTTTATTTATGACTTTTTTATTTTTATTTAAAAAAAAAAAACAGTTGCAGCAAGATGTTAAAGGGATAGTTCACCCAAAAATGAAAATTTGATGTTTATCTGCTTACCCCCAGGGCATCCAAGATGTAGGTGACTTTGTTTCTTCAGTAGAACACAAACGAAGATTTTTAACACAAACCGTTGCAGTCTGTCAGTCTTATAATGGAGGTGAATGGGAATCACGGCTAAAACATACAATAATACTAAAAAAAAACATACACAAACAAAACCAAATTAAACCCTGCGGCTCGTGACGATACATTGATGTGTAAAGACACAAAACGCAATGTCCAAACTGTTCGAACTGTCCTGAGCGCGTTCTCAACAGCAGGCGCGTGAGGCATCTTCTTCTTCTTCTTCTTCTTCTTCTTTTTTCTTGGCTTTTGCAACTTGTAATTATTGCATATCGCCACCTACTATACAGGAGTGTGTAAAGGGACTTGGTAGATACTTATAAGTGAGACTTATAAGTGCATTACTGCCACCTATCTCTCAAATGCACCATTGACACTCTAGCTACAATCTCAATTAGGAGTGTCAATGGTCCACTTGAGAGATAGGTGGCAGTAATGCAAAATCAGAGGTAAAAAACGATATAAATACTGTTCAGTTTCTTGC